TAAAATTACCTTAAAGGAAGAAAATTCCACACTTAGGCTAAGTCAAACACAAAGGTTGTCTGTCTCAGCCTGGGCTATGTCTGAAAAAGTCAACAATAAAGAAATCGTTCCTGAAAATTTGTAACCATGGTCTTCTGTTTAGCTGAGAATCACATTTATATTTTCTGCTTGTAGCAAGAAACATCAGGCAACTGATCTGGAAAAAGCCATCAGGGATATGTTCACCTTTTTCTTTACTTTCCCAGAAAAGCAGTGAGCAGGAAAGAAGCTGGAGCCAAAAGAATGTGTGTCCTCCAACTCAAGAAGTTTTTTTCTGATTTTATACCAGCAGTATTTTCAAATAGATATTTTGCCTTAGAGGGAGGCATCTGTACTTCATAATTAAGAAGGAACATAATGTCTTTGGCTTAGGTATCCTCCACAAAACAGGCCTTTTTAAAAACTGTAATGTCTTTGACTTCACATTTAATTCTACAGACTCTTAATAACCATTATACAGTTCACTCTCTCAAGGACCTTTTCATCTTGCAGCACAGAGCAGTCATGGGCAAATGCTGATCCAAGCACATGACACTCAACTCCTGTTTTAGTTCATCAGTTCTTTCGACTGGCCCCTCATGTAATATGACTTCAAGATCCTTTTCCATTCTGGTTCACAAAATCAAGAAAATTGAACAGATTCATAATGAGTAGCTGATGAAATTAAAGTCATTGCAGAGGAAGTGCTCAGAAACCAAAGATGAAATGGAAGCCAAGCAAGTAAAACAACCCGAGTCAGTTATGGAGAGCATCTTAACTTTCCATTTCTAGGAAGGGAGTATGGTACTATGAATCTGGAAGCACCAGAGGCGCAGAAAATGTAATGGAGGAGAACACACTCATATCACACACCTTCTGGAAATAAGAGGAACACCTGAGTTAGCTGAGGTGTGTCCAGCCTTTGCCAAAAGAGTGAGATTCTAGGCAGGAGAAAGCTTTCCTGATGCTTACGTGACCAAACAATAACCCACAACAAGTTTGAATCCCTGAATGTTAGTCGCTAAGATACATTCTGTTTCTATGCACATGCATGTGACTGAGTTTAGCTTTAGAAAATTCTTGACATGCAGTGAATCCCCTAAGCAATTTTGGGTGTGCACTTATTCCGTGTATATAAGATTGAATATTTAGGTGAGATGATTTTCACTTTCAACACATTTTCACATCATGTGACAATTTAAACCTAGTTAACTATGATACAAAACAAACCAAAAAACCAGGAATGACTTAGAATTTCCATCGCAGTGTCTCAGTTGCCCTTTCTAAGCCCATTGGTGCTCCTAGAGCTGCTTCAGACTAGTAACAAACAAAAATTTAGAGTTAGCTAGTAGTGAAATACATTTTCTATCTTAATCTATGAACAAAATGGCATTATTTTCATTGTTAGAAAAATCTGAAGAAAACCTGGAGGAAAGAGCATAAGCTTCAAGGGAAATAGGGCTGGCCAGTCTGGAAGCCGAGTGTGGCCTCACTCCTTCTTAGGTTACAGCTTTAGTTTCCCACTCCTTACCTGAGGCTCAAGGCCCCACAAAAATCACCTGGCTCCACTATTTTACTTCCACAATTCTCTCATACAAACTAGTTGCTACTCCCAGGTCAGGTCTCTTCCCGTCCATTGAGCACAACTGGGGAGTCTTGTCTCTACGCTTTTGCTCTGAGTGAGTTCCTGGAAGGCGTGTTCTCTTCAATGCTTGAACTTCCCATTCCCAGTTGTAGAGCTAGTGCAATCTTGCTAGCACATAATGCTTTCGGTGGCTACCTCAGTCCCCAATAACTCGTCTTCCTGTAAACTCCCACAACGCTTAATGCCAGGTTCCACTTGGCACTTACCTTTGTCCTGCTCTTTCTGACATCTGATATATTCAGATCCTATCAGCCCAACTAAACTGCCTGCTCCCTGAAACAAGAAACCAGATTTCTATCTTTCACTTTGTAATTCCTCAAGGGGCCTGGCATGGTTGCTTTGTATTCTGAAACTCAGTGCATGACTTTCTATTTATCCCTTTAAATTGAAGGACAAAAAGATAAAAGTAGAGGGGGAAAAAGGAGAAAAGGATAAACTGTGTAAAGACCACTCTGCAATACCTTTAGGTATCTGGACTTTGAAATGATAATGACCTCAAAAGAAAGCATCAAGATGGAACTTCCTCTTTTCTCTGAGAGGCATTCAAGCAGTGTTTCTGGTCACTTCCTTTTACTTTTTGACAAGGATATACTTGTATACCATCAAACATGGCCCAAAGCCTGCAGAAAATACCAGTTCATATTCCCTTTTCCTCTGCATTATCTCTGCTAAGGTACCTCAGAGCTCAGTCAGTGCTAGGAGAAGCAGAGTTACATTTTGCTGTGGAAAGTTCATATGCAACTTAATTACCAATGTGAAGATACTAAGACATGAGTGTGGAGCCCTCATGGATGGGATTGGAACCCTTATGAAAGGGCTTGAGGGAATGGGTCTGTTCCCTTCCTTCCCCCTTTTGTCTTCTGCCACATGAGAGCACAGCATTCCTCCCCTCCAGAGGCCGCAGCAACAAGGTATCACCTTGAAGGCAGAGAGACAATGCCCTTACTAAAACCTGCTGGTACCTTGATCTTAGACTTCCCAGCCTCAAGAACTGGCAAAAATAAACTTCTATTGTTTATATTTTACCCAGTCTGAGGCATTTTATGATAGCAGCACAAGTGGACTAAAACACGCTTCCTATACACTAGCTCTGACCAGCAGGGCGACAGCTTCAAAAGCAAATCTACCAGCTTTTTTGCCACAGGAACCAGCTCAAAGATGACTGGATATACAAAGCAAATCATCTTGGTTTTGTCTGAAATCACTGTTTATAATGTTTCTCAAATTTGGTTGCATATTAGAACCATCTGGGGGGCTTTAAAAAAATCCTATTCCTAGCTCCACCATTTAATATGAATCTCTGGGAATGAATCTAAGTGTTAGTGTTTTCAAAAGTTTGCCAGGTAAACTTCTGAATAGACAGCCAAGTTTGAGATGCAGTTGTTTAACCAGATCCATCAGCAATGTTCATTCCACAGTGGTAATGTTAGAAAACGCTGGCCCATTTGGAAATGAGCAGTGACTACAGATGGCAATAGAACTTATTTTTGATTACTCAGACGGCTGGATATCTAGTTTGCAGGTAAGCCAATCTTTAGTGCTTCCATGTTTTTCTCTGCCCTATAGACCCCATTATCATCTCTACCTAAAAGTAAACAAGAATCGTCTAGAAACAACACTACATTTACCTTTCTATTAGTGGGTAGAGGAGTTCCCTGTGGTTCTTGCCCCCGACTTTTCATTAGAATCAACTGCATTATTTAAAGTGCCAATGCAGGGCCCTAATATCAGTAATGCTGGTTCAATTTGTGTAGAGCTATGATTCTTAATTCATCACCTGAAAACTCTTTAGAAATGCATATACACCATGGAATACTATGCAGCCATAAAAAACAGTGAGTTCGTGTCCTTCATAGGGACATGGATGAATCTGGGAACCATCATTCTCAGCAAACTGACACAGGAACAGAAAACCAAGCACCACATGGTATCACTCATAGGCGGATGCTGAACAGTTAGAACACTTGGACACAGGGAGGGAAGCATCACACACTGTGGTCAGTTGGGGAGGACTAGGGGAGGGACAGTGGGGGGTGGGGAGGGATAACGTGGGGAGAAATACCAGATATGGGTGATGGGGGGAGGAAGGCAGCAAACCACTTTGCCATGTATGTACCTATGCAACAATCCTGCATGATCTGCACATGTACCCCAGAGCCTAAACAAAAAAACGAAAGAAATGCAAATTCTCAGGCCCTATGTCAGACCTGCTGAATCAGAAATTTGGAGGAAGAAGTGGATGGGAGCAGAAATCTATGTTTTAATAAGCCCTTTGGAGAATGCTGATGCTGCTGAGGGTTGAAAACCACTCATTTAGGCAGGGCAAAGCTTTCAGTGATTTCTTTGGAAAGTTTCACAGAGGTTTCTACTGTACGCCCTAGGTGGAGGCTCCTGGGTTAAAGAGTACTGGCTTGGATAGTTGACATGTGTCCTTTAATTTTGATTTCCATGCTCTCCCAGTTTCCAATCCTCCATGAGAAGCAGAATACGATTCGCTGGGTTGAGTCTAAGAACTCGTATAATACTTGTGTTACATTGAAAAATAACAGACTTGGTGTTGGTGTGTCCAAGCCTTTTTAACTGAATTAGATCAGCAGTGAAATCCATCTATCTACTCACTCGAACAGTGAGTAGTGAATAAAATTCCCTGTACTCATCATCCCTCCCCCCATCAAATAGACTTTCCACCAAAGTAAAATAGCCAGTTAACAGTGACTCTGTAGCCAAATATAACCATCTATTTTTTGATAGGATAAAAGAGACATGAATATAACGGATATTCTTTACTTTGAAAGGGGACTTTAGGTCAAAATTCCATGCTTCAGTTCAGTGTCCCTCTCATCCTTCAAAAATAAACCTGAATAGTTTAAAAATCTCAGGGATTTTATTTGTGCAATGATGACATTTAGAATTACAAATTCTAGAGATTGCATGAAAGTCTCTGGCAAGATATGTAATCAATGGAATCTTTATATGTACATCAATTCATACATTACATAAAAGAGGTTACTGTGCAATGACTAATGCCTCAAAGAGTAGCAGACAGACTGGCTGTTCTCTTGTCCTACATTTGACTGGGCCTGGGGGTAGAGGGGAAGGTACCACCTCCAGTGGAGTGCTGAAAATACTTCATGAGAAAGGAAACAATCCTATAGCTCAGTTTATGTCTCTTAGAATCTTTGATAAGTTGTTGGTGCAGTACAAAAGATCTAATAGCCTTAGATAAGAGGAGCAGCTGAGATTGCAAGCATGCCTCTCTTTACACATGTACCAAAGTCAAAAGAGCTGTTCACTCATGGAGAGCTAGGGGACCCCAATCAGTTTACTGAGAGTTTACCTCGAGGACAGTAGACATCTGGAGCCCATCGGTTGCACTCATAATTGTCTGCTGCCTTTTCACAGGTGAAGCATTTAAATCCACCAGGATATGGTGTGGCTACAAAAAAGAGAAAAGATTAACTTTTAGACAAGGTACAGAATGCTGTGAAGTTAGACACTTTCAGTAAAAATAAATTCTCAAGACAACTTAGCTGTTTCTTAAACATTCAACTACTATATGACCCAGCAGTTTTACTCTTGGGCATTTATCCCTGAGAAATGAACACTTGTATTCATGCAAAAATCTGTAAACGAATGTCAACAGCAACTTCATTTGTAATAGCCCCAAACTGGAGATATCCTTGATGTCTTTCAGTGGATGAATGGTTAAACAAACTGTTGGACATCCATACTATGGAATGTTAGTCAGCAATAAAAAGGAATGAACTATTAGTACTTCTAACAGCTTGCATGAATTTCCAGGGAATTGTTTGGAATGAATAAAGCCAATCCCAAAAGGCTATATACTGCATGGTTCCATTTATATGACATTTTTGAAATGATTAGTGGTTGTTAGGGGTTAGGGATGGTAGAGGTAGGGGGAGGGGTGGGGAGAGAGGTAGGTTTGAGGCCAGGAGGAGGGACTCTTGTGCTACTGAAACTCTTCAGAGTCTCAACTGCGGTGGAGGATACACAAACCTACACATGGAAAAATAAGTAGAACTAAACACACATACGTATACACAAAGTAAAACTAGGGAAATCAGAATGACATTAGTAGATTGATTGTATCAATATTAATATATTGGTAGTGATATTATGCTATATATATTTTTTGAATTTTGCTCTTGTTGCCCAGGCTGCAGTGTGGTGGTGCAATCTTGGCTCACTGCAACCTCCACCTCCCAGGTTCAAGTGATTCTCCTGCCTTAGCCTCCCAAGTAGCTGGGATTATAGGCATGCGCCACCACACCTGGCTAATTTTGTATTTTTAATAGTGATGGGGTTTCACCACGTTGGCCAGGCTGGTCTTGAACTCCTGATTTCAGGTGATCCACCTGCCTTAGCTTTCCAAAGTGCTGGAATTACAGGTGGGAGCCACCACACCCAGCCTATGCTATAGTTTTTCAAAATGTCACCACTGGGATAAGCTGGATAATGATCTCACTGTATCTGAGTTATTTCTTGAACTCCTGGCCTCAAGGGATTCTTCAGCGTTGGCCTCCCAAAGTGCTGGGATTACAGGCATCAACTACCACACCTGTACTATGTCCTAAAGTTGCATATGACTTTAAAATTATCCCAATGAAATTTTTAATTTAAAAATGTATTCTCTGGATTTCTAGTAACTTATGTCAACTTATATACATATGCTAACATGCAAATAAAAATATTGGGTTGAGTCATCACAAAATTTCCTGATGTTTGACCATTTCAATCTACAAAAGTGGCAAATTCTCTGGTTCACTGTATCATTTTTATCTATTCAGATCTGATGTTGTTATGAATCCCTGCTTAGCATCAGCTAAGAGAAGAGTCTTCATTGCTAAAATATGTGCTGCCCATGCAGAGATGATCTTCTTCAGGTGCCTTTCGGACCCAGGTCCATAGGAGCTGGATGCTGATGGGACGTGAGGATGAGGCATCAGAGGCTAGGCACCAGCTCTAACCTGAGGACTAGGCCATTCCAGGAAGCCCCACTTATCTCTTCCCACAGCTCTGGCTGGTGTGTTGCTTCTTCCTGCCTTCAGAAGGAACCCTCCTCCAAGTGCTTGTAGTCTTCACCTATAAGCTCAGGTGTGGAGGGTCACATGAGAGTCATGCTCTGGAGATTGTCAGGGGCACCCAGGGCCTTCTCTCCACAAAAAAGATGAGGATCACTGAGGAATGTCAGGCCCAGCTGTTCTTTGTCCTTATCACTGATGTGCATTTAATTGCTTCTTAGCTCTAATCATTTGCTTGCTTCACTACTTAAAGTTTTGCCTTTCATAAACAAAACTTTTTTTTTTTAAATTTGTAAAATTACCTGGCCTATTTGAAAGCTGCAAACACTCAAACACTTCATCTGCAGGAGCCAACTGTTCTCCCTAGCAGATGGCTGAGCCTGCATATCCCACTGGCGGAAATAATCATCTCAGGGTAAATTGCTCTGCCCACATGGAACCAATTAGGTATGTTATCAAAAATAAATGAAGGAAAAGGCAGCAGCTTAAGGCCAGAATGAGGGACCAGATATCACTTTGATTTTCACCTTGCCAAGAATAGCTGCCCATCCATGTACTTGCTTGCAATACTTTACAGAGCTGACTGTGACAATATCAAATAATGTATCATGATCAAGTCATAGAATGTCTAAAAAAGGCAAGTAACTAGAATTTTTTATGGGCCCATTTGTCATCTAGGTGATTAATTAAAGAAGCTTTCTCGGTCTCTAAGTCTCTCCATGCTCTCCATGTAGTTAGTAACTCAAATTCATAAACAGAATGATAAAAAAGTACATAGATCATTTTACAAAATAATGGAAAGCAGCTTAGACAAGGCATCCAACCACTCCATTGTCATAAGGAATTTTTAAAAGGAAAATGTCATATAATTGTGATAAAAGGAAGTAAAGTGTTTTGTAAACTGTGAACAAATCCTTTTTATATCTTCACATTACCCACCTATAGAAAATGGGTTACATTTGAATTGAAAGGTTCTATTTAGGCAAGTGCAGGTAAACCTTGTTGTATCACACTTCATTTTAGCAAGCTTTGCAGATACCGTATTTTTTACAAACTGAAGTTTTGTGGCAATCCTTCATTGAGAAAGTCTATCAGTACCATTTTCCCAATTGCACGTGCTCACTTCATGTCTGTGTCTGTGTCACATTTTGGAAATGCTTGCGATATGTCAAAATTTTCATTATTTTTGTATTTGGATGTTGACTTGCGATTAGTAATCTCTGAAATACTATTATAATTGTTTGAGGGCACCACAAACTGCACCCGCATAAAATGGTGAACTGAATAAATGTGTATGTATTGACTGCTCATCAACCTACCATTCCTCTCTCTCCCTCTCTCCCTTTCCCTGCCCCAGACCTCTATATTCCCTGAGATATAACAATACTGAAATTAGGCCAATTAATAACCCTACAAATTCCTCTAAGTGTTCAGGTGAAAGAAGAATAACACGGCTTTCACTTTAAATCAAAACCTAGAAATGCTTAAGATTGGTGAGAAATACATGTTGAAAGCTGAGACAGGCCGAAAGCCAGGCCTCTTGTGCCAGTTAGCCAACTTGTAAATGTAACAGAAAGGTTCTTTAAGGAAGTGAAAAGTGCTACTTCAATGAATACATGAATGTTAAGAATGTAGAACAGTGTTTTTGCTGATATAGAAAATGTTTGAGTTGTCTGAATAGAAGATCAAATCAGCTGCAGCGCTCCCTTAAGCCAAAGCCTAATCCATGGCACGGTCCTAACTCTCATCAGTTCCATAAAGATTGACAGACATGAGGAAGCAGCAGAAGAAAAGTCTGCAGCTAGCATAGAATAGTTCATTAAGAAAAAAAAATCCATTTCCATACCACAAAATCATAAGGTAAAATAGAAAGTACTAATGAAGAAGTTACAGCAAGTTATCCAGAAAATCTACCTAAGATCACTGAAGATGATAACACTAAACAGATTTTCAGTGTAAACAAAACAGCCTTATATTGGAAGTAGATGACATCTAGGACTTTCATAGCTAGAGAGGTAAAGTCAATGCCTGGCTCCAAATGACATGCTGATTCTTTTGTTAAAGGCTAATGCAGCTGGTGACTTTTAAATTGAAGCCAATGCTGATTTGCCATTCTTAACATCCTTGAGGCTTTAAGAATTATGTTAAATCTACTCTGTCTGTGCTCTCTAAATGGAACAACAAAACCTGGTTGCTTTTTGTTTTGTTTTGTTTTTATTTGCAGAATGGTCTACTGAATATTGTAAACCCCCTGTTGAGATCTACTGCTCAAAAAAAATTTCTTTCAAAATACTACTGCTCATTGGCAATACACCTGTTCCCTCAAGATCTCTGATGGAGATCTACAAGGAAACTAATGCTGTTTTAATGCCTGTGAAGCCAACATCCATTCTGTAGCTGCTAGATCAAGAAAGTCATTTTGACTTTCAAGTTTTATTATTTAAGAAATATATTTGTAAGCCTATAGCTGCCATAGGTCATGATTCCAGTGATGAATCTGAGCAAAGTAAATTTAAAAATCTTCTAGAAAGGATTAATCATCTAGATGACATTAAGGACATTTGTGATTCATAGGAGGGGGTCAAAATATCAACATTAACAGCAGTTTGGAAATACTGATTCCAACCATCATGGATGACTTTGATTTCAGCAGAGAAAGTAACTGCAGATGTGGAGGACACAGCAAGAGGACTAGAATTAGAAGTGGAGCTTATAAAGGTGACTGAATTGTTGCAATCTTATGATAAATGTTACATGAATAAGAAGTAAACTTCTTACGAACAGCAAAGAAAGCAGTTTCTTGAGATGGAATCTACTCCTTGAGAAGATGCCGGAACACTGTTGAAATGATAAACGATTTGGATCATAGTACTGTTGATAAAGCAGTGGCAGGGTTTTGAGAGGATTAATTTCAATTTTGAAAACTTCTGCTGTGAGTAGAATGCTGTCAAACAGTATCACATGCTACAGATAAATCTTTTGTGAAGGGCAGAATCAGCTGATGTGGTAAACTTCATTGCTGTTTGTTGTTTTATTTTTAAAAATTGCCACAGCTACCCCAGCCTTCAGCAACCACCACCTGATCATTCAACAGCCATCAACATCAGGGCAAGACCCTCCACCAGCAAAAAGATTGTAACTCACTAAAGACTCACATTATCCTTAGCAATTTTAGCAATAAATTCTTTTTAAATGAAGATACGTACATTGTTGGCTGAGCACGGTGGCCAACAATGTAATTTCATTGATTATAGGCCAATGCCTGTAATCTCAGCACTTTGGGAGGCCAAGTCAGGTAGATTGCTTGAGCTCAAGAGTTCAAGACCAGCCTGAGCAACATGGAGAAATCCTGTCTCTACTAAAAATACAAAAATTAGCCAGGTGTGGTGGCACA